GGAAATTATCGTGAGAAAATATGCGGCTGTCTAGAATTACATTAGGACAGCTCATTATTACGTCATGAATTATTACAAATTTAATCCGCATATGCATTCATTATAGCGAGTTCATAAATAGAGACTATTCTCTTGAATTATTATTAATTACCCAGATACGATTCATTCATACATAATGACTGTATAATCGATTTCATGTTGCCGAAGGTGACAATTTATATCTTCCGGTGTAATTCCGCAACTGAAGCGGCGCAAGTACTGGAGATTGCGAAATATTCGGCGAATAGTAAACTGCGTTTTAATTACTTCATTAATCGAAAAAGCCGCGTTAGCTTAATTTCAAAATCTGGTACACAAAGAATGCCAGCATAAAATCTATTAAACGTAATTGGCATTATCGGCTCTTTTTTCTCTCTGTGCTTTTTTTTGCCGCGACGACGTCGCGTCGTATAAATCGGCGCTCGTAACTAATTAACTAAAGAGCCCGCATGGCGCGCAGCGGCCCGACCGCTGCTTTACAGCTTATCTCGTATGCAGGTGATTTCAGGCCGAGTCAGCAGGCGTTTCAATAACATAAATCGCCTTGCACAGAGATTAAACGGCAAAGCCGACAAAGTCGTTCTTCAACGACTTGAAAATTCATTTTCCTCTGAAAATATCCCTCTTCAAGGGCCTTTTGATCTTACGTCGCAAAATAAATGTATATTTTATTCTGGAAATAAATTTCCTGATTTTCAGTATCATAGATACTGCAAATGCCGCGTATGCAGTGAGAGAAAAATGTTTGATATTTGTAACTTTATAGTGATGACTATAATTCATAGTCGATTTTGATATTTTGTGATTTTATAATAGTAAATTAAATAATTTATAACTTAGTTGTAATTTATAGTCATTTTCGCGCGATATCGGATATGGTATATCCTCGATAGCAAAAAAAAAAGTCATAATAAAATCATGATGATTTGGTCGAGATGATAAATAAAATTATATTATTACTATATATATTATATATATGTTTTATATGTATATATATATATATATAAAACTTTATTATAGCAATAACCATAAAAATGGAGTTCCTAACTATAATTATTTTATCATGAAATTGTAGTCATAAATACGAAACACTTTTCTTTTAGTATGGAACGAATTGTTTAGAACAAATATGCAACTTTTTGCAAATTTAGTGCGACAGTTTATCTGGGTACATTTCGTGAGCCACACAGATACGGGAATGCAAGAATATGAAAGTTAAGAATAACAAGCGAATTCTAAGCCCCGGATGTTCAGTACAAGTAGCTGCATCCATGGCGAAGAGAAACCGTATTCGGCTTACGTCTTAAAACTTAAGAAATGCAAGCGGACGAGTTGCGGCGAGGAGGCACGTCTCCCAGCAGTGCGATGTTTTAAGTTCTAAATTTTACGGCGAACGTTTTGTTCCCCACACGCTTGACTCTAATCTACATCCGTTAACTTCGCGGCTTACGAATCCTTCTGGTTTCCACAATGTCACGGTTTTTCACTGAAAGCAGAAACATTCTGACTATCGTGAATAAAAAGTACGGTATGTTTAATTAACAAAGCCCAGCTGCGCATTTTCTCGAACAGTCTTTCCCTCCCTTCCGAAAAAAAGAACGATAAATTCATTGGTATGCGGTATTCGTACGCGTTTTGGTAAAAAAAAAAAAAAAAAAAAAAAAAAAAAAAAAAATTTTCATTAAATTGAATTTATTTCGAGATTATAGTAGCGTTGTTAAATTCAGCAATGGATTATAACTGCAGATATAAAAGCCGATCGTACTTTAAAGCTTATCCGGAAAGAACGGTTTTGTTGAAGTATCTAAAAATTTAACTACTCAAATGAAGAATTTGTGTTGAATTTAATACATTTCACATGTTTTTAAATAGACCATTCAAATTTTTGTGTTAATTTAAAATGAATATGTTAGATAAAGTATCACAAAAACCGGATTGAAATATTTTAACACGAATGCAAAATCTTTTTTACTGTGTAGGTACAGATCTGAAAATAATTTTGTTGGATCAAAATAATTGTTAGAATAATTACGTAGGATGCTCAAGTTGATTGCTAGAATGACAAAATTTTCTACGATATTGTTCATCGTGTTTGAATGTTCAATACAATTACTTCGAATTCAACGAAATTAATTTCAAATCTGTATGTGTAGTTAAATTTTTAAATACTTCAGAAAAACCATTCTGTCGGGATACACATAATAATTTTAATTATGTTTGTACAGCGAACGTATACATTTCATCACGATAGCTAAAGAGAGCAATGCTCGAGCCGAGAGTTATTTGGCACCGCTGAGCACATTCATAATATTCGCAACTGAGTAAGATATACACTGGCAAAAAGCCTCTCGACAAGTGTTTCGCCCACGGTGCAAGATAGGTTTTGCGAATGACGTGTAATGTTAACGGAGATTAGACCACGCGGTAAAAACGATGGCACGGTGATTAGTATCGGTTACGCAATGCTGCGAAGCAACATACTCGACGTGTATTAATTCGAATCCCGATTGCAGAATTTTTTGCACGAGACTGATGAAACTTCTTGCTGATATGCTGAATTTGTATTCCACGTCGCTCAACTAGATTTAGGCTCTAACTGTATTTCCGAATGGAACAAATAAAATATATAGTTGTAAGAGAGATTTAGAAGATCTTAATATATTTGATCCTAATAATTTTGTAATTATAACATATTCTTGATTTTTCACACAACAGTTGTCAATACGATTATCTTTTACTTTACACTGTTAAATCTACCTATCTACAGTGCCAAATTTAATCTAATTTAAATCGTCTACTCCTACTCAATATATCATTATTTTATTATATTAAAATAATGAATAAATTTGACATTATATAATGTTGAATTTATCAATTGTTTTAATGCAAGATAATGATATTGAGTAAGAACAATGACGATTTAACAGGATACATTAAGAAAAAAAATTGTTGCAATTGTTCTAATTTAATTATAATTTAACTATAATTTACAGTTTATTTTTTGTGCTAACTATGTATTCTTTTTGTAGGACTAGAAATATTGCGTTGAAATGAAGGTTTGTAATGCTACGAACTTCAAAATTCAAACAGTTGTAATGTCGTTAAAATTTTTAAAATGCAATTTTATAAAGAGTTTTTTTAAAGTTAAAATCTCTATTTTTTTTAAAGATCGCTATGTCTTTCTGTAAGTCTGATAATTTTTACATGCAGAAAATTACGAGCTGGACAGAATAAGAAATTTTGTCTCACTTTGTGTGCCTGTTATCTGAAAAAGTTTGTGAAAATGTTCGACTTTTTCTATCGTGAAAGTATAAAATTTTTCTTACAAAATTGATTTTTAAAAATATTTCTAAGATGTTTTATTATTGAATTATAATAAAACGGATTAAATAAAAAAAAATATTTAGATTTTTATTGTTTATAACTCCGTTTAAAATTATCGCAAAAAAAAACAGATTCTTAAAGTTGAAATTTTGCTCTATTAAATAAGTAACATAATTATAAATTTTTTAAAAACATGAACATGGTACATGAAGTAACAAACTTTTATAATAATAAAGCTACGAACTTTTGTTACAACCAATACATAAATTACTAATATTATGACAATAATAACTATAAAGATAAAACTTCTAACTATAATTATTTTACCATGCAATTATAATTAGAACTATCAAATACTTTTTTTCATTGTAGTAGAATTTTTCTCTATTATTTTATACTAATTGGCGTTACCAATAAGGACTAAATAGATTTCTTGATTTAACAGTTTAATTCTATTTGTTATAGTCCCCAGCATTGATGGACCGGTTTTCAATATCACGAAAGTGAACAGGTTGCAGATGGGAGCATATCTTTGCATCGCGTCTAACGGCGTACCGCCAACGGTCAGCAAGAGAATAATGCTCGTTGTACATTGTAAGTAGCTACTTCAAAAGTATTATATATAATTTATTCAATCAAGTGTTATTATAATATATTAACATTTCGATGTTAATAGTTACTCCAATGATTTGGATCCAGAACCAATTAGTGGGCGCACAAGAAGGCCAACAAATGACGTTAGAATGCCATTCCGAGGCATTTCCCAAGTCCATCAATTATTGGACGCGAGAAAACAACGTCATTATAGCGAACGGTACGTTTCGTAAATATTATGAGACATTGTTTATTGTGAGATATAGGCGTTTGTTCTTAACAACTATAACTGTAGTATTACAATCGTTAAGTTACGAGTTACAGAATAGGTCTCATATAGATGTTGATTCAATAAAAATCAGTATTCTCTTTTTATTTCGAGCTAGTTGCATGTGTGTAAAAATTTGCGTAAATTTAAATTCTATATATAAATGCTCCACAATCTTGCGACTAACATGAAGCAAGAATGCATTAGAAACTTCGAAAGATTTGAGTACTATATGTGAAATGGAAAAGAGAATCGATCGGAATTATCATAGCGGTAGCAATAATTAGAGAGCGTCCGCTGCAGCAATGATGACATTAATTCGTTCAATGACAACGCTAATTCTTCCAACATCAGCAATAATTGCAATGGCAGCAACAATAGCAACGATAGGTCGCCACATCCGCGCGCGCCGCATGCGCGCTCCTGCCATAATTTAATGAATGGTAATTGAACTCCGCTCTGCCGACATACTTAACTATGCTTTACTACCCGACAACGCATGGTCACGGGTTTGGTTTGCTCATCGAATCCATTTATGTCGGTACACCAGAAATTAAAGGTCGCTACTGAACGGATCGCGTTCTGACAAACCTGTTTGCTAGTAGCAAACTGGATTTTGTTTCCCAAAGCACGTATCTCACTCGATGTTCAAAAAAAAAAAAAATACATTGCCATCGCGTCATATTCAATGTTGTGACGAACAAAACGCTAGTTCTGGGTATTATTCAAAAGTCAGTAACAATTACACGTATTGAAAGAAAAGTATTTGATATTTGTTTCTTGCATAAATATATATTAATAAGATAAAATAATTATGGTTAAGAATTCCACTTTTATATACAGAAAAACGATTTTATTGAATTATCTAAAAATTTAGATAGATACAGATCTGAGAATAATTTTATTAGACCATTAACATAATTATGTAGAAAATATAAGCTGATTACTAGAAAAACTTCTTGCAATATTGCTCATTATGTTTGAGTGTTCTATATAATTATCTTAGTAATTCAACAAAATTTTTGTTTTATAAATTTGTATTTATCTGAATTATTATATATTTTAATAAAAATCGTTCTTTCCGTATAGTTACAACTATAGTATATAATATTAGAAATAACATTTATATAGTTCCATATCCAAAAAGATCATAGTTCTATACATACATATCTAATCATAATTATTTCCTTATTAAATTATAATTACAAATACTTTTCTTAGTATACATTCCCCCGCCATAATAATTAATTTGTACAGAGCATCAAGCGTTACACAATCAACGATCTTGTCTAACGCAGGAAGTGATATTTGCGGCGGCCGCAAATACGCAAACCACCTAGACGAGATGTGGCAAATCGAACCTGACGGTGTACGCGACGCATCGGGTACGTCGGTGCGTTACTGAAAAGCGGTCCGCACATGTGCGCATAATTATTTCGGATAATTAGACACGACGCCGCGCCGAGATAGCATGCGTTTGGAGTAATGCACCCCCTTCGGATCCATTAATGCACGCGGTTCGACCGGCTTTGGTGCTGCCGCGCCGTCACCGCCGGGATTCCGCAATGTGGATGTGCGGGAGACGAGGGTAAGAACGAGCGACGTCGACGGCGTCCGCGCCGTCGCCGTCGCCGTCGCTGTGTCTGCAGCTGCTAATCGCGCAGCTAATTAGGTTAATTTTGGATCGCTTCTGCCGGCGCACCTGCGGCGCGACACCGAGCGAACGAGTGGGCGTACGAGCGAGCGAGTGAGCAAGCGACGGCATTTTGCTACTAGTGATCGATGGCCCGGAAACCGGTGCGATTTCCATTCGTGACGCCGGCGGAGATTAATCTTTGTTTGCCCAGCTCCGAGATTTTTATTTCACAGGCTGGTTTTCCGAGGTGAAATGGCACGGCCGCGCGCTCCTCGTCGCGGCTGAATGGTTTCCGCTTATCTACTACGGAATCTGGCCCCTGAATAAACCACGTTAACAACGATCGCAGGTGACTTATGGGAATGTCACTTTTTACTGTGGAGTGACAATGCACGATAAATGCTACTGAACGTTAAACGCGGCAATATGCACAAAGTTCACTAACCACATTCTTCGGGAGACCGCGTTAAGCTTCAACGATTACGTTTGATTGAATACAATTCACATTTTATAATTATTTATAATAATTGTATAAAATAAATGTTTCCGATAATTGAATATGCTCAGTGATTGAAGAATCAACAATATATTTGTAATCAATTAAGATATTTGTTAATAACAGCAAGAAATGCAAACTAAAAAGAGGATATTAAATATTTTGTATAAAAATTGCTCATTTCAATCACACTTTTTACTTCTTATTATCTTGAGTTTACATTTTTGAATTTTTCGAAATATTGTACTATATTTAATTATTTATCTAAATATGTAATATGTTTTTTTTTTGTTTTAAAAAACTGAAAATTAAATTTAAAACATTTCAGTTCAATAATTAATTCAGTTCTAAAATAGTTCAATAATGTCGGTATGACAGTATCGGTTTCTCAATATCTGAATGATGATTCTTATATATTTTACTTCATAAAGTGAAAAAAAATTATAAATTATTTAAATTTGTAGAGGTTTTTTTTAAAAGTAAAGTCTTTTTTCAAAATAAAGCCGTTGATTTCTCAAAATCGCAGTATGTACATACCGTGCAAAAATTTTTTCATGCTGAATACGGTGCCGCTGACAGAATTTGCATAACATATCTCATTTCGAGTAAAATAGGATGAAATCGGAGTGTTTTTGGCCAACATTTTTAACATTTTTTTTTTACAGAAAAACAAAAACTTGTTTTTAAATAAAATTTGTGGCATTTATATTGTATAAATTAAGAACTTTTAAATGAATTTTAGTTATGATCTCGCGTACTTATTTTCATCAAGTTATGACTGTTTGAATTTTTAACTTTCTGCATAATTACGCATTTTAACAAATATTTTTTTTTTTTTTGAAATGCCATAGTACGTATTTCAAAGATTTTTTTGCACTGAATACGATGTCATCGCATCATCAGAATTTACGTAGTACATCAGGATTTTAAGTAAATTGGGGTGATTTTTGATCCATTTCGCCTGAATTTATTTAAAATCCCATGTTACGTAAATTTCTGTCAACGATATCGTGTTCAGCATGAAAAAATTTCGCAGTATGTACTGATATTTCGAAGAAAATGAGTACCGTGTATGTAGAATTGATCATATCTTTTTATTAGTCATTGGGACATTTAAATACTTCAATTGATTGTGTCAACATTAGCTGCAATTTAGCATTGCGGGAAAGTTTTCAGACATTGCGAAGCACAGAAACTGTACGATCTTATGAGCCGTCTACAATGGGAGTAAGATTGTATAGTAAGTCACAAACTGTAAAAAATTGACCAATCATATTATTCTCTTCACATTCGACTATGATTGATCGATTTCTTATAACTAATTACTATATCATATAATTTAATTAAGCAGCGTTTACAAAATAAAATTTTAAGGTGTAAAATTAAGATGTTAAGCTTAAGTTGTAAGAAAATGATCAATTATAATCGATTATTTTCTTCAGGTTCGACTATGATTGATCAATTTCTTACGACTTAAAGCTTAAAAGCTTAAATTTTATACCTTAAAATCTCATTGTAGACGCCGCTTAAATTCTATTGATGGTCCTTTAGAAAACATTCGCAAATAGTATGCCGGTGTTTTCTACGTTTAACGTTTGACTTTCAAACAAAGTGGAATGGAAATCTCGTAAAATCGAAGGCGATCGCTTCGCAGCTTATCTGCCGGTCCCCATACCCGGATGGAAAGCACACGAATTACGAATGGGCTAACTGTCAAGTTATCTTGCATTATATTCCCGGCGTCAACCGCACATACCCCCTGCTGTTTCGCCGTAACGGTTACGACATGCTTTACGATTTAACGTTTCCGCGGATATGCGTTGCCCGCTAATGCGAATTCAGCGCGCGTGACTCACGCACGATCAGATATCGGGTTGCGCGCAACGACGCGGTGGGCCCTCCGACCGTCATCTGCGTGCACCGATTTTCGCATCGAATCGGCCATTCATCGGTAACATGGCACGTGGTGAATAGCGTGCGCAAAACACTGGACCCGATTCCCAAATCGATTCAAATATTCACTCGGCGAGGAAATTGTTATTCGCTTCACGATTTTCCATTTTTTTTTCGTGAAAAAAAAGTTGGCGATAGTGTTGTTACGCGTTACGCAGGTATCTCTCTGTTAAACGACGCGATAACGATATATATCTACATACTTGTTTGGAGGTAAAAAACATGTGCGCGGGTGAGCAATTTAATGCAATTTGAAACGAACTGACCTCCAGTTTGCGTTCGGCTGTAAAACGCGATTCACTTCGGAGGGAAAGGGCATGTTGGGAAAGGGCGTGTCGCGATTATGGGAAAATCGCGATTTGGGATTATAACGTGCCACATGTGAATTCTTGGCTGGAGCATTCAAATTTCCGGCAAAGCGCAAAAGTTTTACTGATGTCGTTGAAAAAAATCTTTTTTTTTCCTTGCCAGCAAAACGTCGCACGCTTATAAAGCTCTGCGGGAATATCCGGCGCCGAGGAATTCATGAATTTTCCTATCCGGGACTTCGAAAATTCTAAGTTTCGTCGAGCATTTCCAGTCACGCAGTTCAATCGACAAAAACGCTTAGGTATAGATATCGCACCACCCGTTCTCGTGAGAAGGCAACTCGTAAAGCGACGGAAAGTACAGTTCTATTATGCTGCTATATAAATGGAATCACGTGATGGAAATAGCCGTCTCGTAATATCGTTCACAGCATGGCAATGCGGAGATATATGAAAGACCTGGGAAGTTTCATATTTTATATTATATATTATATAATATATATTATAAAGGGAGAAAAGAAAGATTTAATATACTATTTATTGAAAGTTGGCGATCATT